GAAACACCCTTATATATAATCCGTTTTAATGAAACACCCTTTATATATATAATCATTCTTTTATATATCCTTCCCAGTTTTTATTCAGCTTTTACAATCAACACATCCGGTGGAGTAAAAGGGACGCTAAATTGCATTTCTTGATCTCGTTTTCGCTAGTTTTAGTATTTTGTTATGGCTTAGGGTTCATATGAACTACGTTTGAGAACGACTGATGTATAGTTTATTGATTAAGGTGAGAAATATGAGCGTAAGAGGAGTAATGGATAGCGGCTCGGATTGAGGAATCGGAGAGCCGAGTTCGAATTCCAGTCGAATCCATTACATTCACTTACATGCTAATATCTTTGGAAATATATGAATCCTATTCTTCTCCCACCAGCTATGGATAAATAGCAGGACAGACCGGGTTCTATAGCCTTGGATGGCAACTGATTTACCGCAGAAAGAAATGGCAACCTACTGCGGGAAAAAAAATCTGCCTCGTCAGTCATGTATCGAAAGATACATGATCGACTAAGCGTGTATCACGCATGGCATATAACTGACAAGAAAAGAAAAAAATACGTAGGAAGAAAGAAAATAACAACGTTGAAAGAAATAAAAAGTAAAGAAAAATATAAAAATACAAAGAAAGAAAGAAGAAAAGAAAGAAAGACAGAAAAATACGTAGAAAGAAAGAAAGAAAAGAAGAAATACAAAGAAAGAAAGAAAGAAAGAAAGAAAGAAATTCAGTAAGAAAGAGCCGAGTTCGAATTCTAATCGAAACAATTACATTCACTTACGTGCTAATACGCTTGGGGAAGGTATGAATATTCTCCCCACCCCCACCCCGCCAGCTATAGGCAAATAGCAGGACAAACCGGGTTCTATAGCTTTGGATGGCAACTGGTCTACCGCAGAAAGAAATGGCAACCTACTGCGGGAAAATAATCTGCTTCGTCAGTCATGTATCGAATGATAGATGATCGCCCAAGTGTGTATCACGCATAGCACATAACTGACTGAAGAAGAGTGCAGAACATGAAAATAAGGGGATAGATATGGGTTGACTTTTGAAATGATGGCGTTAACATTGTAGTGTTCAGGGAACGATCTTTTAGCGAATATGTTCCGTTAAGTAACCGGTCTCAGGTGGAGTGAGAGCTCTCTAACAGAAACTTCTTCCTTACAAGTGGAATACAGAGGAAAGGTGGGCGAATGGTCTCCATAATATGGCAAGTCCTAACTGTACAAGTATGAACTGGTGGATCGAAAGAATAGAGCTTATCTAAACAATTTTTTTTCTTTATACATGTTGAAATGTTGGTTTTGAGAGTTTTAATGAATCCGGATTTCATTTTTCTGTTGATCCCACTGGTTGCCTCGTTTCAGTAGTGTCATCGTAGCGGTTCCAAACTATTCTTAAAATTATAAAAGCTTAGCGAACTGGTTGTGGGATTATCCGAAAATAATCTAATATATTAATAGCCGATATGTAATAGCTAAAAACATAATTAATATAATTGCTGTAAGATTTGCGGAGGCTGATAGATAGTTTTTTGTAATGAACATAATTTATTCTGACTAAAGAAATCGTCTTGACGTTAAAAGCATAGCGAACCGGTTGTGGGATTATCCGAAAATAATCTTATATATTAATAGCCGATATATAATAGCAAAAAAAAAAAAACTAATATAATTGCTGTAAGATATGCGGAGAATTTATTCTGACTAAAGAAATCGTCTTGACGTTAAAAATGTTGCTAATCTTCTCGTCATAATTTTGATAGGTCGTCCATTGGATCTTTGGGACTGCAGCAATTCAGTTCGAATGTGGCTAAGAAACCATAACACTGCTGATGACACTAGAGTCAAAAAGCCTCATACTTCTGAATAGAAATATGACGAGAACAGATTTTCAATCTGGAAATATCTTAATAAATAAATAAATGTTTTCTATTAAATTATCAAAATGGTTTAATTCTTTTTTATACCATAAAGTAATTTATTTCCATCGTCAAATTGAAAAGAAAATAAGCAGAATAGGTTCCTAAGAATTACCAGCCTTTTCGGGACAGGTTCTTGGAGATTTGGGGTGCCTACTTTCTTGTGGATGCCGATGTATATATTGCAATAACATGACCGCTACTTGAGGGATGCTTATAGGTTGTATTTGCGCGACTTGGGTCCGATTCTGTTGCCTGCAGGGTTACCATCAATTCCACATTCTTTGCGGGGAACTAATTTAGAGATGATAGCAGGAACCAAGGATTAATTTATATACATATCACTCAACAGAGACTCGGTTTTAAAGGGGAAAGCCAGGCAAGTTATTCCAGACGACTCACAGAGATCTTATCAACAGATGTTAACATCTCAAACTAAATGAAGAGAGTGGAATAGAAGACTTACTCTTATTAAAGACTCTGTTACAGAGCCGCCAGTAATCACGTGGATTGAACTTGTTAGAGGCTGTACAGTGTCTCGTTCTATCAGCAAACAAAGAATTAGCTTCTTTAATGATGCGTTTACAATTATTGCGAGCAGACACAAAGAGGCGTCTCACGTGTTTGGGACTGTCATGTTGGCACAGCCGGAAAAAGTGATTTCTTTGGGCTATAGCTGCTGAAAATACAGCTGTCAACCGAGGAGAAGATTGTGATTTCACCTGGTATTTCCTTGAAGTAACTATGATGGATTTAACCCAAGAAGGAAAAAAACACCTCTGTGGCACAATTCTAAAGAGATATTGTAACTGCCCTGGAAAACGCCGATATTGAGGTCTTAAAGCCCGCTAACTAAGAAAACAACACAGACTCACAGATGTTTTCATATTTCGTTCTCCATGTTGAATAAAATGACTTAAACTTGAGTTTTATTTTTCTCTCTATATATTTTTGGCAAACGACGTATAATCGAGAACGTCTTAACTCGAAACGACGTAACCAGAGGTATTCTTGTATATTAATGAGATCTCGACGCCAAGTCTCGTACTACGCTTAAATTTCAAATGTCTAGATGCGATGGCGAAGAGATCTTCCGAACAATCACCATGAAAGTATCTATATTAAAGTGGCAACCTTGCGGCGTTGGGTAAGTGACTGAAGCCAGATCAGGACCAATAATATTTTGATTCCTTTTTGCATTTCATCAAGGACTACATTGATAGATGAAGTACCAACCCATATGTGGTAGCAATATACTAAGCATGACCGAATAGTATATATATATATATATATATATATATATATATATATATATATATATATATATATATATATATATGAAAAGGCTCAAACACTAATATTCCATGATTATAATTTATTACATTGAAATTAAAAACTCGATCCAATTCATCAGATCTACAAATTCTAAAAGAAATCGAAAAATATAACTCCGGCTATAAAAAAGTAAAATTTTAGAGAGTGTATGTGTGGGAGTGGGAAACAAATGTGAGAGGGAAATGTCTGAAAGCTCTAGAGAGAGGGTGTAAGAGAAGAAAGAAGAACAGGAAGGCCTTAAGGTGAAGGTGGGGATTAAAATTTAACAGTGAGAAGTTTTAAAGAGAGGAGTTAAATAACGGTTTAAAAGAGTGAGATACAGATTGAGTTCTGCCTGGATGCTATCCTCTTGGAAATATATATATATATATATATATATATATATATATATATATATATATATATATGTTGTGGATTCCGGGATGAAATCCGATACCAATAAATAACAAACGCCAAGAATGAATATATGAAAATAAATTATTAACGTAATAATACAAACTGGTAAAGCAGGTTAGTAGTTCCAGGAATACAGGTTAGTAGCAAAATATCTATACAGTCTTTGGTATTAAAGTATCGCTGTATGACTTCTTACTGAGTCTACGTGCTCGCTCACTGTGACTCCTACAAAGCTGTTACCTCATCCCTTACTCTTCCGGTTACCTACAACATTTTACTCTGTCACTCTCGACTCGACTCTTCGGTCTTGTTCGCTATTTATCAACCCACCCACAAGGATTGAATATGGCACAAGGCCGGTTTAGTGTGGGTATCCCCGAGTCGGTAGGCTCGGCCAAAAATATAGCCTTTTTAGAACCGCATTGACGGATTCAGGCCCTGTCTACCTCCCCGAACGAAACCTTGCCCTTCGGCAATGCTTCGTCCGGGTTCCTCTCTGTTAATGCAGAGAGTTTGACAGTCGTCGCTTACAGTCAAAGACTGTATCACGACAGCTAGACTCGGAGGTCTGGCTCTCTCGGGTCTTCACGTAGCCGTAGTATAAGTATACACTGGGTGAGTCCATTTGTGGAAAACGGGGTGGACCCCCCAACAATATATATATATATATATATATATATATATATAGTGACTACTAATATTATCTATCTATCTATCTATCTATATATATATATATATATATATATATATATATATATGTGTGTGTGTGTGTGTGTGTGTGTGTGTGTGTGTGTGTGTGTGTGTGTGTGTATATGAAGCAATATAGTTTTAAGGTGTGCTATATTTATGGGATAAAGTTCTCAATATCAGAAATAGAGCGTGTGTAAATATAAATATAAAAGTGAACACTGAAGTCAACACTCAGAGGTGTGGGATGTTTATACTGGACACCAATCGTCAGCCTGATTGCGTCTGAGTGTTGACCAGTGTTCACTTTATATATATATATATATATATATACACACACACACACACACACACACATATATATATATATATATATATATATATATATATATAGTATAGTAGGACATTATCTATGGAAAGAGAGAGAGAAAGAGTAGAGAAAGAATGAAAGAGAGAGAAAAAGAGAAAGAGCTGTTGAAGTGATTTAAACACCTTAAAATTCTGAAAAAGTTTTATATGCCTTGCCAAATTTATTTGTCATATAAGAATATGTCAGCGAATAAAATAGCCAAGATGTGCAGTATTTTTAAAATTATTTATTACCAGACATCATTTATTGAAGAATTCAATTTTGATATTCTTATGAACCCAAGAATGCTATTTTCCCATATTCGACAAGTTTACATCTAAATTTGATAAACTCCACAAATTTCAGTGCAAGGCGATTGGAATATATTTGTAACAGCAAAAATATTACGTATATTTTATATTTTATTAGAAAATAAAACAAAATTTTATTTGCTTTTAATGTTCTCTCGAAATAAAATCTCCCCTGACGATTGCAAAACAAACACCCCCCACTCCGAACATTCAATCCATATTAATTGAGAGTTATGTCAACTCGGAATATATTAAAAATTAAAAAAAAGAAGTTCCTTTTAGGAACAACATAAAATGGACGACATTAGACAATTTATCAGAGTTTTTTCTTTTCTTTTTTACCTTTAGTTTTTTTCTTTTCTTTTTTTTTTCATTTTTTCTCTTTTTATTTCTTTTGTCTTTTTTTTCTTTTTTCTTTTTTCATGTTTTCTTTTTTTTCTTTTTTCTTTTCTTTTTTCGCCCTTTTTACTTTTCTTTTCTTTTTCCCCTTTTCTCTTCTTTTTCTCCTTTTCTTTTCTTTTTCCTTTTCTTTTCTATTTTTATTGTTTTCTTTTCTTATCTTTTTCCCATTCCTTCTTCTTTTTCCACCTTTGCTTTTCTTTTTCCTTTTGTTTTCATTTCATTTCTTTTCTTTTTCCCCTTCTCTTCTCTTCTTCCTTTTTTCATTTCTTTTCTTTTATTTCTGTTTCTTTTCTTTTTTTTTTCTTTTTCCCTTTTCTTTACTTTTTTTGTTTTCATTTCTTTTCTTCCCAATTTTCTTTCTCTTTTCTTTTATTTCTGTTTCTTTTCTTTTTAATTTTCTTTTCTTCCCATTTTCTTTTTTCTATTCTGTTATTTCTGTTTCTTTTCTTTTAATTTACTTTTCTTTTTAATTTTCTTTTCTTCCCATTTTCTTGTTTCTTTTCTTTTATTTCTGCTTCTTTTCTTTTTAATTTTCTTTTCTTTTTAATTTTCTTTTTTCTTTTCTTTTATTTCTGTTTCTATTTTTTAATTTTCTTTTCTTCTCTTTTTTTTCTTTTCTTTTATTTCTGTTTCTTTTCTTTTTAATTTTCTTTTCTTCCCATTTTCTTTTTTCTTTTCTTTTATTTCTGTTTCTTTTCTTTTTAATTTTCTTTTCTTTTTCTTTTTCCTTTTTAATTTTCTTTTTCTTCCGATTTTCTTTTTTCTTTTCTTTTATTTATGTATCTCTTTCTTTTTTCTTTTATTTCATTTCTTTTCTTTTTTCCTAGTTTTACTTTTCTCTTTTTATTTCTTTTCTTTTCTTTTTCTTTTACATTTTTCTTTTTTCTTTTCTTTTTCTCTATTTTTATTTTATTTTTCTTCTATTTTCTTTTCTTTTTTTTATTTTTCATTTTTTTTTTTTTTTTTTTTTTTTTTTCCTTTTATTTCTTTTTTTTTTTTTATTTTTCAATTTTCTTTCTTTTTTTCCCATTTTTTTTCTTTTCTTTTCTTTTCTTTTTTTTTTCTTTTTTTAATTTTCTTTTTTTTCTTTTTTCCCATTTTTCAGAGGGTGGGCGATCATATGTATTTTTAATCATTTTTTCTCTTTTCTTTTTTTTTTTTCTTATCTTTTCTTTTTTTTCTTTTCCTTTTTCATTTCTTTTCTTTTTTTTCTTTTCTTTTGCCTTTTTCTTTTTTTTCTTTTTTTTTTTTTTTTTTTTTTGTATCTCTTTTTTTTTTTTTTTCTTTTTTTATTTCATTTTTTTTTCTTTTTTTTCTTTTTTTTTTTTTAGTTTTATTTTTTTTCTTTTTTATTTTCTTTTTTCTTTTTTTCTTTTTACTTTTTTTTTTTCGTTTCATTTTTTTCATCATTCTTTTTTTTTTTTTCTATTTTTTTTTTTTTTTTTTTTTTTTATTTTCTTTTCTTTTTTTTTTCTTTTTTTATCTTTTTTTTTTTTTTTTTTCATTTTTTTTTTTTTTTTTTTTCGTTTTTTTCTTTTTGTTGTCTTTTTTTTCTTATTTTTAATCCTTTTTTCTTTTTTTTTTTTTTTCTTTTATTTTCTTTTTTTTCTTTTTCTTTTATCATTTATCGTTTTATTTTATCTATTTTTCATCCATTTTTTTTTTTTTTTCAATTTTTTTTTTTTTTTTTTTTTTTTTTTACTTTTACCACCTCCGATTTCGCCATCCTTTCACACTACCCCTCATGTTGGTGGACCGCTGATTTGCCCTGTCGCTCTAGGCCACATGAGGCTCATGTTCTGCAAACACTCTTTTCTCATTGAGTCAAGGAATCTTCAACTGTTTCTTTTTTTGATTTGGGGTATAAGTTTTTGTTACGTTACCATTTCTTTTAATAAAAATCCTTGTTGGTTACTAGTTCCATCAATAGAATTCTCATATACTCATATAAATATTCCCTTACTTCCAGTTTCCTTATAATCTGCGTTCAATGCCATATAAAAGTGGATATCGCAAAGCAAGATGATTCTTCTTTGCTTTGTTTCTGAGGAAATTTTCCTGTTCTTTTGCTTAGCTTTAGGAAAGCACTATTCGCTAAACCAATATACGTTTAGACTGGATGTCATATCTTCCATCAAATTCTAAAATACTTTGAAATTATTGATATTATTTCTCTTTTCTTTTTCTCTTTCTTTTCTTTTTTCTGTTTTTTTATCTATTTTTTCTTTCTTTTTTATTCTTTTCTTTTCCTTTTTCTTTTGTATGTCTCATCATTTCTTCATTTTTCTCTCCTTTTTCTTCTCTTTTTTCTCTTTCTTTTCTTCTATTTTTTCTTTCTTTTTTATTCATTTCTTTTTCCGTTTTCTTTTGTATGTCTCATCATTTCTTCATTTTTCTCTCCTTTTTATTCTCTTTTTTCTCTTTCTTTTCTTCTATTTTTTCTTTCTTTTTTATTCGTTTCTTTTCCTTTTTCTTTTATATGTCTCATCATTTCTTCATTTTTCTCTCCTTTTTATTCTCTTTTTTCTCTTTCTTTTCTTCTATTTTTTCTTTCTATTTTATTCTTTTCTTTTCCTTTTTCTTTTGTATGTCTCATCATTTCTTCATTTTTCTCTCTTTTTTCTTCTCTTTTTTCTCTTTCTTTTCTTCTATTTTTTCTTTCTTTTTTATTCATTTCTTTTTCCGTTTTTTTTGTATGTCTCATCATTTCTTCATATTTCTCTCCTTTTCTTCTTTTTTTCTCTTCTTTTCTTCTATTTTTCTTTTTTTTTTTATTCGTTTCTTTTTCCTTTTTTTTGTATGTCTCATCATTTCTTCATTTTTCTCCTTTTTTTCTTTTTTCTCTTTCTTTTCTTCTATTTTTTTCTTTCTTTTTTTATTCGTTTCTTTTCCTTTTTTTGTATGTCTCATCATTTCTTCATTTTCTCTCTTTTTTTCTTCTCTTTTTTCTCTTTCTTTTCTTCTATTTTTCTTTTTTTTTTATTCATTTCTTTTCCGTTTTCTTTTGTATGTCTCATCATTTCTTCATTTTTCTCTCCTTTTTATTCTCTTTTTCTCTTTCTTTTCTTCTATTTTTTTTTTTTTTTTTTATTCACATTTTTCCGTTTTTTTTTTTGTATGTCTCATCATTTCTTCATTTTTTCTCTCCTTTTTCTTCTCTTTTTTCTCTTTCTTTTCTTCTATTTTTTCTTTCTTTTTTATTCGTTTCTTTTCTGTTTTCTATTGTATGTCTCATCATTTCTTCATTTTTTTCTCTCCTTTTTTCTTTTCTTTTTTTCTCTTTTTTCTTTCTTTTTTATTCTTTTCTTATTTTCTTCTTTTGTATACGCCGTATCCCTTTCAAGGGCGTGGTCGATCATGTCTCCTATCCCTCGTCGACGTTAGCAGCGTTCAATCCTTTGTCAAACCTTATTCCTACCCCCGATTTCGCCATCCTTTCACACTACTTCTCATATTGGTGGACCGCCGATTTTCCCTATCGCTCCACTCCTCGGGAGGCTCAGAAAACCCATGGTGCCGTCGTCATAGTGGAGAAGCACAAATTATTTAAGACGTTGGTTAAAAAAATAATGGATAAAAAACTCTTCCTCAAAACTTATATACTTCCGGTTGTAAAAATAGAAATTATAATTTAAATACACATCTAAATAATTAATTTTTATTAATTTTGTAATGTGGTAAGCGTGTTTGGAAAAAAAGATTCCTATAACTCTAGTAACATACATAACACAACCCATATATTCTGTTAAAGTTAAAAAAATAAAAATATTCTATGTAATAGTTAACAGTACAGACGTAAGCGCTCGGACAGACAAAATATTTGGACAATTTCTACATAATTTACACCCACAAAAGAAAAAAATTGTAAGTACACGAGAAAAATTAAATAAAAAAAGCGTAAACGGTGTACATTGCCCGTCGTTTTAAATGAAACTCTTAAAAAGAGGGATTGCTGCCAAATACACAGTTATATGTACAATTATATATTAATAATGAATATATATTTTTGTCCTGACCGGAAGTACGACTCTCAAGTTCATGAACAACGCAATATTCAGGTGCCTGATCGTTAAAATATATATATATATATATATATATATATATATATATATATATATATATAGATCGTTACATATACATATACTGGGCCGTCGTAGTAGTCGAGAAGGGATATTATTTACGTGGTTTCTTATACAAATATGGACAAAAAACAGATCCACAAAACTTATATACTTCCAATTATAAAATAGAAATTATAATTTAAATCTAATATACACATCTAAATAATTACAAATATAATACATAGGGACACACAAATATCATTCATATATATATATATATATATATATATATATATATATATATATATATATATATATATATATATATAAATAAATAAAAAAAAAATCGATCCTCTCTCGTCGGGTTCGACGTATGAGGCTCAAACAGATCAGTTTCAGGAAACCGACAGCGGCACATGAGATTTGATTATAGTGGTGAAGGTTTCGTGCAGGACCATCCACACTTTTTGAGGGGCCGAATACAGAGACCTGGTGCACTACCTGCCACAAGGTCCCCAAAAAACCCCCCTTAGGTTTTGAATTCAGAGTTGTCCTTCTCCTAGACCAGTTGCCATCCGAGGCTATAGAACCCAGTCTGTCCTGCTATTTAAACCATAGCTGGAGGGAGAAGAAGAGGATTTTTGAAATGCCTTTCCCAAGGGTATTAGCACGTAAGTGAATGTAATGGATTCGACCTGATTCGAACTCGGCTCTGCGATTCCTCAAACCAAGCCTCTCTTTCTATATATATATATATATATATATATATATATATATATATATATATATATATATATATATATATATATATATATATATATATATATATATATATATATATACTAAGAGAGAGAGAGGTTTACGGTTATCGACTCTGACTGTGGGATATATATATATATATATATATATATATATATATATATATATATATATATATATATATATATATATATGGTTTGGACAAAATAATTGGAACCGTTGTAAAAAATCCACTTCTATATTTCAAAGACCGATTATATTAAGAACTTTGACTAACACTTCGTAATTGCAGGTTATATCTATTGTAAATACGCTTATTTATCTAATTTCCTATCTTTGTCTTATTTATTTTTAGAATCTAGTAAAATTTAAGCTAAATGCTTGACCTCTTCGAGTTCGAAAAAGAGCAAATTGTTGGAGCTCGCATGGCAGGAGCCTCGATCACTAAGGTTGCTGAACTGTTTGGTTTTTCAAGAGCTACCATATCAAGAACACTGATGCAATTCGAGAAACAGTGCAAGACCTCTAGCAACCGTAGCAATTCGGACTTGCAAACTTACTGACAGGGATAGACGTGCATTGGAACGCAATGTGGCAAAAAATCATCGGACAAATGCGGCCAAAGTGACTGCTGAGTTGAATAACCATCTGAATAGTTCAGTTTCTACTAAAACTGTTCACCATGAGCTCCATAAGGCTGCATATCATGGAAGAGCCGCTGTGAGGAAACCTCTTCTCTCCACTCGCTACATTCAAAAGGGGTTGAAGTGGTGCAGAGATCACAATGCCTGGTCTGCAGACCAATGGAAGCAAGTCATATTCTCAAACAAGTCCAGTTTTTCTCTTTTCCCAAGTTCAGAGCGAGTTTATGTGTGTAGGAACAAAGAAGCGTACAACCCTGACTGCCTTCTTCCAACAGTGAAGCATGGAGGTGGATCAGTGATAGTTTGGGTCGCCATATCATGGAAATGTCTCAGTCCAATAGTTGGCCTGCATGGTAGAATCAACAGCAAAGATTACCTGAACATTTTGGGAGATCATGTTCATCCAATGGCCAAGACTTTATTCCCTGATGGTGACTGCATCTTCCAAGACGATAATGCTCCAATAGATACCGCTCGATTGTTTCGGAATTGGTATGAAGAGCATGAAAGTGAGCTAGAACAAATGGAGTGGCCTCCCCAATCTCAAGATATCAATATTATTGAACATTTGTGGTGCATTTTGGAGCAACAAGTTAGGAGCCGCTATCCTCCACCGTCGTGTTGTAAAGAACTGAAGAAGGTTTTAATGGAAGAATGAGTGAAAATTCCTCTGGATGAAGTCAGGAAGCTGTATGATTCCATTCCTAGACGTATTAAAGCTGTCTGTGAGGCTAAAGGAGGACCAAATCCATATTAAATAAATTTCCTTTAAATTTAACAACTGTTGCAATTATTTTGTCCAACCCCTGTATAAATAATTACTATACAGTTATATAAACCTATGGTAGTTCCAGCTTCTAAGGCTCTGGATGGAGTGGATTGGTGAAGTCTGTGCTCTTGGGGGCCTGGCCTGTGTGTTATGTATACGTGGATGGGTATTACCACCGGAAATAGGATGAGTTACGCAATGTTGTGTCTAGTTGCTGAAAGCCAATGGTATGTGGCTTGCGTTGCAGCGTAACGGTTTGGGTTCATTTCTCAGTAGTGGATGTGCACTGTTGATGAATCCCAAAAATAAGGTTCTGGGTCTAGGCATGATGAATTATCATGAAAAATTATTCAAATCTAAAATTCTATTCAAATATATATTATATATATATATATATATATATATATATATATATATATATATATTATAAAATAATTGATTTAAAATATGTTTTTTCCTTTACACAGTTCTAACCATGTTTCAAAAATGGAAGCTAAAAGCCACGAATTTAATTTTGTAATTAAATTAAAGTCATTAGTTCCATTTCATCTTCAAGCGAATTTTGGAGTAACTTTTAAAATTACTGTGTTTAAAAACACAGCTAAGCTAAAATCCCGTTTCCATGGTTACAGATAAATCTACTTCAACTGGACAAGTGGTGTCTGGGTTTTCCTTATGTCAGTATCATTGTATCGGTTATTAGCTACATTTTGGTATGGGGTAGGGATGTATTTTTCAATGTAAACTGACATCCGTTGAATGCATGTCGTCTGGATTTTTTTTTAAATTTATTGTTAACGGCAAAAAAATTCTTACGGCATTTTTTTCTATTTGTAAATTTAAAGATTTTCGCGGGTGTTCATATTAGAATACTTTTTATTTAAGTACAATTTGAAATATTCTCATTTTTAATTTTTATTATACTATACTTTTTTTTAAGAAGAGTTAAATGTATTAGAACCCTTATAGTATGTAGGATTATTTTTACATCAAGTATAAGTATGTATATTAGGTTACATTTTTTATTTTATTTTATTTTATTTTTTTTATATTATTTGAGTAAAATTTATGACAATGACGTCAAAAATAGTTAATTAATTTCACTGATTTAGTAAACTTTTATTTTTTTTATATATATAAACCTAGAAATATATTGTTTCTCATGTAAGTACAAAGGACATGGGTCATTCAAAAGCTTACATCTTCTGGCATTTCATATTAATTTTATTTTACTGTAGATGTTTTATTGGATTCTTTTAAGTGCGTGTAGTACTAAGTAAAAGAAGTTTAGGTTAGAAATAATTTCATTTAACTACAATTTTAATTACAACTTTAAAATATTTTCATTGTTAGTTTTAATAGACTATATTACTTTATAACAGAAGGAAATATATTTGAAATTATAGTAAGTAAAATTATTTTTCCATATCAAAGTATATGTATATTACGATTTTTAAACTTTTATATTTAAATATTATTTAAGTAATATTTATGGCACTTACTGCAAAAATAGGTAATTCATTTCTTAGATTTAGTAAACTTTATTTATTAATTAATTTATTTATTTTAAATATATATAAACTTAGTAATAAAATTTCATATGTATGTACAAAGGCCACGGGTCGTTCACTGGCCTACATCATCTAGCTTTTCGTTATAATTTCATTTTTCAGTAGGTGTTTTATTGGATTCATTTAAGTGCCTGTAGTACTTTTTTAGAGGTGTTTGGGTTAGAATACATTTTTTTTTAGGTGTTTACTACAATTTTAAATACAACTTTAAAATATTTTAGAATGAATATTACATTTTATTTATAACACCTGATTATATATCTTACTGTTTCTTTCTTTATATATATATATATATATATATATATATATATATATATATAGCATATCTTGATCACTACAAAAAAATTTCAATTGAGGTACTCAATTGGGAGACAGCCTTCATGCTACAAACAGCAACAGCTTAGCTAAAACGCAAAGCTCGTCGGCAAAATGAATGCGAGCAATCTGACCCACTGGCTTTTGTTTACATTCCTAAAAACAATACGCTAGAATTAGCAGTATGGCTTAGGGGTAGAAACTCTGACTGACATCAAATCGGTCGGGTTTCGATCCTGGTTTGAGGCTTTCGGACGTCTTGAGACTTTTGGACGTGATAGAGTGAAACAGTACTGTCTGCGAATGCCATATATATATATATATATATATATAAAAGTGAACATAGAAGTCAACACTTAGAGGCGACAGTCTGTTTCATGCTATATGCAATCGT